TGAATTTTTAAACCATATCCGTAATCTATTTCAATACGCTGAAGAAGAAGGAAAGTTGGATGATGTCTTTCATCTTTCGAAATTTTGCCAGAGGTGATACCTATTCTATATTTATTTTATTTAAAAAAAAATTACTTATTTTTGTACAAATTTTAGTTAAAATTAGAAAAGACTATTCCTTGTAATAAGTAACATAAAAAGATTTTTTTTCATGAGTTTATTATAAAATTTACACGTCTAAAAAAATAAAGTGCCAATTTTTGATTAATCAAGTATAATTTTTATCATTTGTTAAAATTTTTTTTGATAATTTGCTTTTTTTGAAGAGACATTTCTTGTAAGTTCCTATAGCAAAGTGTGTCTTTGATTTATTTGAAAAAAGATCATGCCACAATAATGGAGATGCTTCACAAAACCATTCGGAATTTACTTGTGTACAAGAATAAAGTGTTTTAATATCATTTGCTAAAATCTCAAAGACTTCTTTTAATGCAAGTGATAGAAGTTTTTTTTGTAATGTAGGCATTTGATACAATACTGTAACGATAATAGGAATGAAATATTATATATAAAGAATTTGCATTGTATTACTTCATTTGATGAAAGAAAAATCAGAATTAAAAATCATTGAAAATTGAATTAATTTATTTGTTAAAATAAATCAACTACGTTGTTAATTTCTGAAAGTAATACTGTATAGTCGTAAATAACACATCCCTGCGCATTATTTTGAGACACGCAATTCATATCACTATATAAATGTGAACTGAATATTGAACAGATAATATAAATAATCCATGGCATAAAAATTAAAAATTCAAATGCCATACCTTGTAACCAGTGAAAAAATACAATTCTTTATAAATTATTAATGTCAAAATTAGGAATAACCTATTTTTTGTATTGTTAGTCTCATCACTACTTGCAAATTATCTTTAATAAAAGATGAAGCCATCAATTTGATTTTTCGTATTATAGTGATCGCTTTATTAGAATTTATATTAATTACTAAATTTTCACTTGTTTTAGATAATAATTCAAATAATTAGATTCAATTAATTTTTGTACGAAATGTTATACTCTTTATTAGAGATATTGAAATATTGAACGGGTTACTTTAAATCTATAGATATTCATCGGTTTGAAACAACCCGTCCAATATTCAGTTCACAACTCTAAAAAAACTGATTGAAATCTTCTTAATTATGATAGAATTTTTTATTTTATTTGTATATTATCAAAAACTTCAATTAAAAAAAAATAGTTACATTTTTATTAGTAATGAATCATATTTTTTTTCTAATTAATGCATATGAATAAAGTGTATCTCATGAAAATAAGGAAATATAGATTTAGATTATCGATTGACCGTAAGAAATAGTTTTATCTAACCTGCTGCATCAAAAGTAACTCTTACCTGTCATCTTTATTGCAAAGTTTATTAAGAATTATTTTTCTGCTGTGTATGGTGGTGGCGATGAAGTGATAATTCTGGATCATCATGTATTTTTCAGTATTCTTCAGTACAAACTGCCGTACTAAATTATAGTATGCTACATAATAAGTATCCAAATTTTTACCATAGGTAAAGCACATAGGAATACAACCCACTGATCTTAATTTCGGTTAAAACCTCTCTAAGCCCCAATTTGCTAGGCAAAACCCAAATACATTTTCCTATCGCTATTCCTTAAAAGTTACTTCTACTGAACGAAATGCAATGAAATTTATTTTTATGGCTTTTTTGTAAATCGTCAATAGTGTTCCGAAATTGATTTTTTGAGCTCTTTATAAATATTTTAAATAAATATTTTATGTTTAGAAACTAAAAATAAAAGCTGATATTTTTTTTTCTTTTAGAGTTTAGATACAATATTTAATAATATAATCGACAGAATTTGGATTAAAAAAAAATTCGAGAAAATTTTTAGCATAAAACATCCAAGACCGGCTGATTCTTCAATAAAATTGATAGCATTTTCTATTTCTAATTTACTAGCGTTTCTTTTATTATATAATTTTGTTCTCATTAAATAAATTATGAAGGATTTAATATAAATATTTTTTTTAAATCTTTCAGAATTTTTTAAAAGATGAAAGACATCATCCAACTTTCCTTCTTCTTCAGCGTATTGAAATAGATTACGGATATGGTTTAAAAATTCA